GCTCATGCTAGAACTTTTATGGAACAAAAGTGCTTAATCATGACAAAGATTAGATGCAAAATTGGGAGAAAGTGCAGAATCGCCCACTGCTTGCAGCGTTTTTAAGAATTGCACATACACGGTATCCATGTACACGTCGACCTATTTTCACTTAAAAAACATCCCAGAATTACACAAAAATGGCATTGTGCACACGCTTGACTTCATCCATGTACACTGTTAAAGTCCTAGCTAGTAACCTTTATCGCCTTACCAAAATGTCGCCAAACTACCTGTTACCATATTCCAAAGATTAGTCAAGACTTTTTGTGGTACTTACTTGTTAATGCAGCTACCATAATACAGTTTGGCGTATTCTTGTATCATTTTTATGTGTTAGAAAAGTGCTGAATGCTGATTATGAGATGTGCACAAACATCGTTTATTCTGCATTGTTGCTGTAATATTCTATATCACAGTTATAGTTAATAATAATAATAATAGATACAGTTACATATATAACATCTCCCTTTTTTAAATAAGAAAAATAATAATTAAATTATACATATTCTTTTAAATAATGAATTTTTTTTTTAACAATCCTACCAGATAGAGTAACATAGTTATGTCTATTTGCAAAATTTGGTAATACAGTACCTCTTTCAGTATGTGGTGGCTTAACACTTCTATTGGGTGCTGAAGAAGTACATTTAAATTTGAAGTACTTCTACTAATGTCGTGTTCATCCACATCTTCAGCACTTTCATTTTCATAGTTGTTTTGCATTGCAAACACTTTCTGATTAGTTCCTTTAAACATGTTTCTTCTGTTCCTTTCTACAATTCTTCCATCTCTTCTTATAACCCTATAAAATATGGTCTATCTGCTTCTTCTATAATTTTCCCTCTTTCTCTTAGTTATTTCCATTTCTCTTTTATGTACACATGATCTCCTAGCTTCAGTGGTTTTAATGGTCTTACATTCCTGTCATAATATGTTTTGTAAGGTTTGTCTCTTCAGTAATTGTTGTTTATGCTCTTCATTTCATTTAGTTTGGATGAAATTCTCTTTTATAGGCATCAATCCATTCACTTTTCTTCCATACATCAATTCCAAAGGTGCAGTGGCGTAGCTACGATTCCAGCGCCCGGGGACAACTGAAGAATTTGCACCCCGGGGACAACTGAAGAATTTATGTGTGCCAAATGGGAAAACATTCCATTAAAAAAATTTCGTAGCCTCCTGGATGCTGCGCCAAGGAACAAATGTCCCCCCTTGCCTCACCCTAGCTATGCCACCGCAAAGGTGACTTTATTTCAGATGAAATAAGAGAGTTATGATATTCCAGTAATATTAACTATGGATCCTTGTTGTCAACTACAGCTTTTTCTAACATTCACTTGGCAGTTTGAATATGTCTTTCAACCATTCTATTTTTAAATATTAATCCATTTGCTTCTGATAGGTATCTGAATTTAAAATATGGTTTTGCCAATTCTGGAACCATACAATTTTACATCTGGCCATTCAGTTTTAAATAATTTTCTTAAAACTTATAATTCTTCATCTTTAAGTTTCCAGTTGAAAATTTTCCATTTTGCCTTAAGACGTTGGTTTACATTCTACAACCAGTCCGACATGGGCTTCTATGTCTCCTTCAAAGAAATCAGATCTTTTATCAGTAAATGATCTTGATAATGCATTCGCTCTAAAAAGTTCTTTTTCTTCTTCATATTTTATCTCAAATTGATAAGGCTGTAATCTTACTGGGCATTTATTTATTGGATTTTTGAAAATTGATTCCAATCTTTAATCCGGACTCGTCAGGACTTCGGCGATTCCGGATTGTAGATCATCAATTTAAATCTGGTAAGATGGCATGCAGAAATTATACGATTAAAAGTATGAAACCGTAATTTGTGAAATAAAGAGCAATTATGATATAAAAGGTATCAAAATTTACACAAAAAAAAAAGCTTAATGTTTATTTGTTTACTTTATTAAACATTTGCTTCAACGTGCGCATGCGTAAAGCATATATTATGCATAGTGGAAATTAAAATTGCAACCAGAAACTATTTGATGTGTATTTGGATATTTATATGACGAGGATTTGATTTAAATTTAACTAGATGGAGTACATCGAGATGAAATACTACATTTAGTAAGGAATTATAAGCTGAATAAAATAAAAACATCTGCTCTGAAGATAAAGATAGTGCTGATAGATCAAATTCCAGTTCATTGTATGCCGCGACGTCCTCCCCCACATTATGTGTGTACACATGCGCAGAAAGTTTGTAGCTTTGAGGTCTGGATTATATTACATAGTTTGTAGCTTTGTATATAGTTTGTAGCTTTGAGGTCCGGATTATATTACATAGTTTGTAGCTTTGTATATAGTTTGTAGCTTTGAGGTCAGGATCATTCTGGATTATGGACGTCAGGATTAAAGACTTTAGACTGTACTGTCAAAAGTCGTTAATTCGGACACCCATAATTCGGAATGATCTATAATCCAGACCTCAAAACTAAAAACTTTCTGCGCATGCGCCGTGTTGACACATGTGCATAGGCGTTTACGCGTGTGCGTAAGACCTTTTTATGACTGCGCATATGAGTGTGCGCAAGTGCAAAATACGTTTTCGAGTGCAACGTTTATGTAATGGACGTATAAGCTAAGAATTATCTAATTATCTATTTCAGTTAATGTTTGATGATTGCGTGTTCCTTATTTTGAATTGGATCCGGCTTATTATTTTTGCAACTGTAAGAGCATTTATAAAAGTAAGCTTAAACTTTCGATTATATCAAATAGAATTTCCAATATATATTTTGTTAATATGAAAGGATCTAAAGCGAAAGTTGTTTTGAAATCCGAAATCTGTTTATCAATTTCACGCGGCTCGGCGGGGGAACGCCGCGGCGGCGCGATGAATTGAAGTTGATCTGTCAGCACTATCCTTACTTCAGCGCAGATTTTTTATTTATTTCCTTACCAAATGTAGTATTTCATCTCGATATGCTCCGTCTTTGATATGATTTAAAACAAGTCCTCGTCATTATATTCGCTTCCGATAACGAAGAAAGTAACAGAGGTTATTGAAACGAAAAATTTCGATTGACAAATTAGTCGGTGTTCGGACACAGCATTATAGGACTTGAACAGCGAACTTTGTGACTGAACAAATTATGTCTGTTTAATAGAATTAAAGAGAAAGTATTATCACATGAAACGAAGCAAAACTAAACAACTTACATTGAAAGAAATGTTAATAAAGTAAACAATAATATTAAGTTTTTCTTTTGAAATTTTGATACCCTTTAGATCATAATTGTTCTCTATTTCATAAATTACGGTTTCATATTTTTATTTTAGAATTTCTGCATGCCATCTTACGAGATTTAAACTGATGATCTATAATCCGGAAAAATCGATAATCCGGAATCGCCGAAGTCCCGACGAGTCCAGATTAACGACTTTTGACTGTATATATATAAACTGGTGAAATTTTTCACATTCAAATACAATACAAAGTTTCCTTTTCAATTTGAGCATAATTCTCCTATGTATCTGTAAATGCCTTAGGTGCATATGCTATAGGTAAATTATTCTGCAGTAAGATTGCTTGTAGTCCTTGAAATGCATCTGTAGATAAAACTACTGGCATGTTTGTATCATAATACAGTACAAAGTACGAAATCTGGACGTCCAATACCCGGAATGATCTAAAATCCGGACCTCAAAACCACCAACAACGTTTTTCTCTTAGGCTTTATGCATGTGCATTTGATTGCCCCCCTACACGCTTAATAAAACATCTGGAGAGTCCCGATTCTTAATTTTACTTTGACACTAAATAAAATACCTTGTCATTGAAGAAACAATTACTTTAGCATAAATTTGTACAATCAGTAATGTGGCTCTGTTGCTGCATATCTGCTTGGCACACATTTCAAACCGAAACATTCCACATAGACACATCGTTGATCTGATGCCAACCTGACGAATCATTATTTATTTTACTTTCCTTTCATCACCTCATATTTATCAACACATGACGACTTGAGTAATGACTCAAGTAGCAATGCCTAAAAATTTTTTTTATGTTATTAATTGAATAATAAAGGAGTATGGTAACCTTTTATGTTGGCGATGATTACAGATAAGTTAAATGTGCTAAAAAATGTTGACGAGGAAAAATTTAACAAAAATTTTGGTACTTTTTCGTTTTGCTGGCGCAAATGTCACCAAGCAGACTTTTTGGTGACAACATAATGTATACCTATAAAAAATGTTAACAAATGTTAGTTATAAGAATTTTTTATTTTGAAGGCATAGACATTTTAATATCGTTTAAAATTCTGTAAAAAGCCAATAAATAAAGACAATAAATTTGTGAAAAAGACATTAAGAATTTCCTATGCTTTCATGGTCCAACATCCTGATTTGCTGGTTCGTATCACATAACTCCAAGTGATTTCATCTCACGTAAACAACGCTACAAATTTCTAATTCTGTCAGTAGTTATCTACATTAATTTCAAGTTAAATCTTTATTTAGAATACAAGATTAAATGCAAGAATTATTTCATTTGGTACGAATAGCTTACTCACAAATTATGTAAAACCTCAGTACTTTACTTCGCTAGTGCATTCTCATTAGAATTGATGAATTTAACCCTTAATTTTGCCTTTTCTATATTTTCACCTACGGGTGAGCATTATGATTGCATTCTAATTGACTTAATTACTGCGAATGATCTTAGGGCATAAAATTTAACTATCTTGTAAAAATTCTATGTAATTGTATGCCAGTGTTGAAAGAAACAATCAATCTGATTAGAAATGGCTGCAACTTGTTTTGAAAATGAGGTGTAAAAGGTTACAAGTGAGGATATTCTGTTTGGCATCAGTTGTACCATTATTGGTGACTTTATCGCCTGCGGCGGCAAAACGGAAAAGTAACACAATTTCTTTCTGTATGCTAAAAATAGATTTTGTTGATGATACTCATAGACTCAAAGATTACATTTAGGGTTATTTGCATTAAGAATAACGGGGATACTCAGATAACTGGCACTTGGCGAACTTCCTGAAATTGCGTTCAGCAACTTGGGCAATACGACAAGCGCCTGGCCCCAGCCACCACCCCAAGCTTTGTTTATTGGACATGACTTGTGATGTCATAGAGTGACGAAATGGATTTCCCGAGGCATTTTTGCGCGCCAAAAGCTTAAGCCCGAGGCCATTTTAGCGCTAAAACGGGTGAAGCGATGGACAACGATAGAATAATATGTCATATTTGCGAAAAAAATTACAAAAATAAGAAGCAGCTTCAGAAATATATTCTTAATATACATGGGGTTAAAAAAAAGGAACAATTCGATGTGCAGTCGATAACTGTTTGACAATATTTTTGTCATTAGACGAATATCGAAGTCATTTAGCAGATAATCATAGATTGAAGATTGAGGGAAAAGAAATTCTCACTTTTTCAACTAGAGAAGGTAAATGAAATCACTTTTTAATATTTGTACTATTAAAATTTACTACATATTTTTATGACGTGTATGTTTGTTAATGTATATCATATATTTGTGTGCACAACAGTAAAAATGGGGAAAATAAAATAATGATGAAAAATGCATTACAGAAGGCGCAGTAACAAAACAGTAATTTATTACTAGATAGTTTAATACTTCATAATATGAGTTAAGTAAACAAAAACTGTTTTTTTTTTTTTTTTTTTTTTTTTTTTTTTTTTTTGTTTTAAAAATTTATAAATTATTGAAATATATGTGTCATGTATTACCGTGTGTATCAAAAATATTTAAACGAAAACAATTTATTTGGGGCTATATAGATTTTAATTTGGTTGTGGTATATCCGACTGTATGTTTTCTTACGTGGCAAACCTAAACATGAATCTTTTGGAATTTCACCTTGTGCTTCAACCTCACACCTTTCAGACTTTTTCTTAAAAATTAACATAATATTAAAATAATTTCAATAATTTAAATTCTTTTTTAATTTAACATAAATTCTCTCAAAAGTTCTAAAAAGTATTTTTTAAATAAAAATTTTAATTTTATTAGAAGCACGATTAAATTATTTTCATTTTTCAACTTTGCTATTTGTAGTTTTTAAATGAAATAAGATAGTTTCTAAGTGCTGTAATTAATAAGTTAGTCAAAAAAATTGTCACATAATTCTAAAAGAACTATACTTTTCTTATGTTATTACAGTCAAAAGTCGATAATTCGGACACCCATAATCCGGAATGATCTATAATCGCGCAAAGGCACCTTTACGACTGCGCATATGCGTGTGCACAAGCGCAGAATACGTTTTCGCATGCACGTTTAATGTATAATGGACGGTATAAGCTAAAATTATCTAATTATCTATTTTAGTTAATGTTGATGATTGCGTTGTTGCTTAATCTTCGAATTGGATGCACTTATTATTTTTTGCAGACTGTAAGAACAATTTTATAAAAGTAAACTTGAACTTTGGATTATGTCAAATAGAATTTCCGATGCTGGAGCTCCCAAAGGATCTACAAAACGAAAGAATGTTTCGATGTCCGTCAAACAAAAAGTGGAATTGCTGCAAAAAATGGATAAAGACATGAAGAAGGGGACAGAGAGGTTAGTGAAAACAAAAAAATTTCGATTGACAAGTTAGTTGGTATTCTCGGCACAGCAATTACGGGACTTGAACAGCAGAACTTTGTAACTGAACAAGAAATTATGTCTGTTTAATAGAATTAAAGAGAAAGTATTATCACATGAAACGAAGCAACTTACATTGAAAGAAATGTTTAATAAAGTAAACAAATAAATATTAAGATTTTCTTTTCGTAAATTTTGATACCCTTTAGATCATAATTGTTCTTTATTTCATAAATTACGATTTCATATTTTTAATTTTAGAATTTCTGCATGCCATCTTACGAGATTTAAACTGATGATCTATAATCCGGAAAAATCGATAATCCGGAATCGCCGAAGTCCCAACGAGTCCAGATTAACGACTTTTGACTGTATACTGATAAGGTTTTTTTATTCAACAGCAAACCATAGATATAAATTTTATAAATGGCCAAAAAATATTACTTTCAAAGACATCAAACTACAAGGAAAAGATAGCATTTCATTCAATAAGCAGCATTTATTTTTTTAAAAAAATCTTAGAATAGTTGAATCATTACAATTTTAAAATATTTATTATAATTTTTTAAAGAATAGCCTCCAGATATTGATTTTGCATTATGACAAAAGTCCAGTTAAATGGATTTCTTGCATTTTAAGAAAACAATTTCTATCCTGCTAAACATTAACAAAATATTCAGTAATCTCCAGGATTTTATAATTATTTTGATAGTAAAGGCTGAATATATAATAATATTCATTAAAAATTAAGATATAATTTAACAATTGAAAAAGAAAAGAATTTCTAATTTAAAAAATGATAAAATTATTTAAATTTGCTAAAAAAAACAGAACTTAGAACATCAAATATAGAAGGAAAAACAAAAACTTAATTCATCTATTTTCCTTGCTTTATCGTTTAAATTGACTAATAAGTAAAATATTTAAAAAAAAATATTGTCTACAGATAAAGATCTAGAAGTAACTTATACAAATTTTTATTTATAATTTTATAGTTTTCTCAGAAGGCATATGACTGGAAGCTAAGAAATATGGTTTATATGTGAATCAAAATTATAATTTAAACTAACGGTAAAACATTAATTCTCCCTCTATTAAAAAAAATTGCAATAACTTCTCTGGATTGTGTCATTTCTAGATCATTCTATGGCCTGCGCAGCTCTGATGACATAATAATTGGGAACTAAAACTTACTAATTGTAAACCAAAACTTTTCTCTTCGTGCGTGCTTCCATCTTTCATAACTACGTCACTTCAGCTTCTCGGTCTGTGCTGTGCTTGGAACGCAATTTCGCTACACTGCTTCCTATTGCATTAATATCAATCATGTAAATGTTCTTGAACAGGCACGATTAGGGTCCCAAGTGATCTGTGGCCACATAATGTTAATTGGAAAGTAAAAATGGAATTAAAATCGCCTCGACTGCCAAAGTTTTTATTTACAAAGTCAACACATTGAGCTTACGACGCAATCAGAATACTTTCCTCTTCAATATAGAATAACTACGCATCAACAGTGTTCCGACTTTTTTCTTGCTTTTATTATGTTATATACATAGAGCTTAGCAAACAACATTTTTACTTTAATTTATTTACAATTTTATTACAATTAATTTTATTACTTTAATTTATTTACAATTTTATTACAATTATTTAATATAAGTTAAATATTTTATGAATTCACTAATAGCATGTTCTTTTTTTTTTCACAGAATTTGAGAAATGGTTATATGAAGAGGAACAGAGTACAAATACTCATTTTGTTAAACCTAGAGGGAGAGGAAATACAATAGCCATTCTGTTATAGTTTACGTATGCAACAGATCTGGAACATTTAAATCTGATGGGCTAGACAAGAGACAATTAAAGGCTCAAGGAACATCAAAAATTGGATATCACTGCCCAGCCAGCATTAATGTTAAAATTTTTGAGTCGCATTTAGAAGTTACATACTTCAAAGACCATTATAAGCATGATAACTCCTTTTGTCATCTTCCTTTTCCAAAGCAAGAAAAAGAAATTATAGCAGGTATTTTTTATTTATGAATTTATATACCTGAATTATGTTGTTATAATTTACTTTATAGTAGCTGTACTCATCAGTCTCATACAATGTCAAAATATGGAAGTTTTAATTTTAAAATGTAATAATTTAAAACAGTTACTCTAGTTGGCAATTCGAAATTCCATGGTTAGGATCTAAACAAGGGCATATGTGATTTATCACATTTTCTAACTCAACTATGTAACTTAACATTAATGACTCTGACAACTTTAACAGCTCTGTAAATTAACAACTTAACATTCAAAGCTAAAAACCTTATACATTTACAATGGCGCGACTAAAATTGTGGCGGATGATAAATCATCACCATCTAGATTTAGCTAACTGGGTCTCATTCCTTTCATCCATAAAGTGTAGAAAATATAATGAATTATTACTTGGCCTGTGCATGCTCTCATGCCATAACTGGTAGCATGTCTGGTGAGAAATCAGATCTGTAGTTAAGGTCTCGGTAAGAATAGAATATGGTTGATTCTTCACATTTCCTGCTCTGAAATAAACTTTGTATCTGTATAGTGATGTTCAACTAAAATGTGGTGGATGATAATTTATCTCTATTTGGATATGACTAACTGGATATTGTTTTTATGTCCCCAGTCATTCTTTAAGTGGAGTAAAACATAAGAATGATTGCTTTTCTCTGTATGTGTTCTCATGGTGTAACTGGCAACACATTTACCTATAGTCTGTTACTATAGAACAGACACTTTTGAGTCATTTTTCTCTTGGCTCATAACCATGGTAATGACAGCTGGTGCAGATAGTTGAGCTTCTAATGGTTTCTTTCCCACTTTGTTTTTGTTTAGCATATTTCACTTCATGAAAAACCCATGAATGAAGGTGATGGAGAAAGGAAATGGTTCGCCTATTTTAAAATAACAGATTATAGTAGTCAGAAGATTTGTGGTTTGAATCTTGGTGAAGGAATGGATGACTTTTCTTTATTCTTCCTTAAAAAAAAAAAAAAAAAAAAAAGTTTTCTCTACAATAGTAAACCTGTATAGAATTACTTTATTTTGCTAGGGATCCTCAGTAGTCTGATAACAGAATAGAAGTGTAATAAAAATATTGTGTATTAAATTTTATGACTTTGCATATTACTTAAGTTTACAGTAAAACAGTAGCACACCAGTTTCTGAATTATTAAGACTGTTCGAGCCGAAGAGAACAAGCTGGCTGCATGGTTTTGTCCTATGTGTAATGTGAATACAGTTTCCCATAGAAAGTCCCCTAGGCAAATAGCCCTTATGTGCTTTGCCATACTGAAGTAACCTAACCACTTCCATTTTAAAAAGTAAATTAAGATAATGTAAATTTAGTCTCATAATTTTGTTGTGTTTTTATTTTTAAAAAAATATTGTAATGATTGTGTGCATTTTGCAGGTAAATTGCTACAAGGGGTATCTGAGAAAAGAATTCTTCAAGATGTAAGATTATCTTTAACCGATACTCCTCAGCGTAAACATCTTGTGACACGAAAAGACATCTTTAATGTAAAACAATCTTTTGGAGTGCAACTTGCTTCCAAAGGATCTGTTATGAAAACAGATGAGGAAAGTGTAAGTGCATGGGTACAGGAAATGAGTCAAAAAGATTTTAATCCTGTGCTCATGTATAAAAAGCAAGGCCAAGAATTCTTGGAACTAAAGAAGCAGGACTTTTTTCTTGTGCTGATGACACCATTTCAATTGACCAAATTTTACAAAATTTAGGCTTTGACAGACTATGCATCGATTCAACTCATAATATATCAAACTATGCATTTGAACTAATTACTTTGAATAGTCATAGATGAATATGAGGAGGGCATACCAGTTGCATTTTGTGTATCATCAAGTGTAAGTACACAAATATTATGTACTTTTTTTCAATGCATAAAGAGTGTAGTGCCAAATGTGAAGCCCAATACTTTCATGAGCGATGATGCACCAATGTTTTACAATGCATGGGAAAAAGTATTTGGTATCTGTGAGCACAGGCTGTTATGTTCGTGGCATGTTGACAGGGCTTGGAGAGGACATTTAAATTGCATTAAAAATAAAGAAAAAAGGAAGCTGTGTATAAAACTTTAAAAACATTGCTTTATGAATTAGATGAAAATTCATTTTGTTTAATGCTTGAAAAATTTATGGAGCAGTTGGAGGAAGATTGTGAAACAAAAGACTTTTACAATTATTTTCTGACATACTACCATAAACGCATAAAAATGTGGGCATACTGTTTTCGCAAGAATGTAAAATTGAACACAAATATGCATGTAGAGT